CCCCCCTTATCTCTTTTGCTGCTGTTTAGAAAAAAGAGAAGCATGGCATAGGACTTCAAGTGGAAAGATGGCTCAGGAGATAAAATGTTAACATTGATTATTTCTAGATGATGGCAGTATTGCTGGTTCTATCTATATTTTTAAAATATCTTTTAGTAGTGTCCACCAAAAGGAGTATTATTGTAATAACCAGAAAAATCATATTATTCAAAAAATACACTTTTGATAATAACTGAAAATGAACTAAGGCTTCTTAGAGCAATGGCTAATTCTTGGCCTTGGTAAAGAAATGTGCAAGATGGGCTTGGAATATCTTGCCATATCAAAAGGCAAGGGAACAATCAAAGACTAATAGAATTATGTCAAAATGACTCAGTAGCAAACTTGAAGACAGAGCAATATGGCTAAATATGGGACAATCTGAGCATCAATAATAGTAACTACAATGAACTGAAACCTTAAAATATGTTAAAATATTTAAAATGCATGAATTTTAAAGATACTAAAAAAAGAAGAACATTAAGAAGAGTCATAGCAAGACCACTTTCAACTCAATTTAAAAGTGAATTCTGAATCAGTTTGTATAAACTCTCATCAGAACAGTCAGATTGTATAAAATGGAACAAGATAGTTCAATATGTAAAGAGTGTCCTATGCTTGATTTTTTCACTCATGCTCAAGGACAATTTCTAAGGAATGGTGTGGAGTCATGAAAAGGATGGTTGATCTAAGTAACCTATGAAGACCTTCCCAACTTCAAGTTTCTATTATTCTTTGATAGTTTGTGCTTTATTAAGATCAAAACTTGTTTAGGAATCAACTAAAACACCCAGAAGGCCAATAAATAAATAAATAAATAAATAAATAAATAAATAAATAAATAAATAAATAAAAAACAAAACAAAAACACCCATGGACCCAGGAAGGCCTGCTGCAAAGTCTCTGTGGTTGACTGAACAGATACTAAAAAAACAGCAAGAACAACAAAAATCATATGCTGGACCAGATCATAACAGCAAATGTGGATATTGATGAGATGGACAATCACATAGCAATCTTGATGCTCTTAGAGGAAGTTGGGTTATTCCTAAACTATTGGAATATAGTGAATATGTTTCAAAAGGCAAAGGCAAACACATGTTTTATTCTCATAGGGTCCTGCCATGCACTCTTCCCTTTGTCCCCATCCTGCCTTAAATAAAACTGCATGCCCCTTAAATTCTAGTTTGTTATCAATGCTATCTCCTATCAGTAGAATAGTTGATGCAAACAGTAGGAGGAACTTTTGGTTGCTCATAATGATACCACTGAGAACCCTGTAATCATAAAAAAAAGCATTAAAATATGTTTCCTATTTTTATTTTCTATTAAAGCAGACCACCGCCCTAGAGTAGACATAGACTTTATCCTTAACGTAAATTGGTAAAGTAATAAACTTG